AGAGAAGAAATATCATGCTGATGGATTGGTTTTCGCTTCAGGCGAGATAGTTAGAAGTGTGTCACACGATCTACTGTCAGTCAATTATTATTTTCATATGTGAATATCGTAGATGAAGAGAAAATATAATGTAATAAACTCTGGTTAAAATTCTGCACACTTACTACATAAATATCGTTCAGAATAAAGTTATTTTTAATGTTGTTATTATTACTATTAAGTACTTAGTTAACCTAATTAGTGCCTTTATTAATTTGCATACTGTTGAAAATGTATTCACTTCATTCTGATGTCAATGTACATACCGATTTCGTTTATTTTATCGTCACTGGGCGGCATAATTTACCAGACTTTCCAGCCCACCTCTAGAGACCACAGACAGCATAGCCGACTTGCCGTTCGTCAGAGGGAAATACTGGGGTTATGTCTCTATTGGATGGCAGTAGGACTTCCTACTCAGTCCACTAACATAGTGTGACTGCTTTTTGATTTCATTCACATCCAAACTAACCTTCCTGTAGAGTAGGACCCGTACCAAGGAACATTATTTCCACTCAGTGTGGATTTCTTAGTGATTACCATATTCAAGCTCAACCATCATATCATGGTATAAAAGTTGTCAGTCGGGAAATATAATAACTTGAAATACCTAACAACTGAGTACATAACCTTAAGACCTCATGACCACCTAAGTCCTGTAAAACACGGTGAAAAGCCGCAGTCGACTGTCTCTTAAAACAGCTGTTTTCAACAGTAACTTGCCACTAGATGGAATATGTTAAGGCATTGATAAATGAGGACAGCAGATCCGTTTTTGTCGGGAGTAATAAAGTATCATTGACACGTTAAGCATTGATTACTGGGACTGAAAAGGAACCAGAGTAACCAGCATTTCCCTACTCACTCTTTACTTTTTCTGCCGTCAACATCAAAAACAACACCTGGGGTAAACGTGTATATGTCATGTGAGGTGTAATAACTTTGTTTCGGTTAAATTGTATTTCCCGTTGATTAATTATAGTCTATTCAATTTCATCATAAATGTATTAGTGGACTTAACTCTAAGTGACTTCAGCGACTCAGGGATTGACTTGCTACGACCAGGTAATAATCTCGTTGACTTAGAATATGCAGATGATATAGTCCTTCTAGGTGAAGATGCTGAAAAAATGCATAGTCTTCTGAACACCATCAGTTGCAATCTGAGAATATTTTGGTATGACATTATCCCCCACACATTGCGCTACAGGACTTCTAGCTTATAAATAGGGAGGGAAGTGGTGGAGTGTGTTGAGCACTTTACTTATTTTGAAAGTACCATCAGCCCCAAAGGGTTGATCACTGACGAAATCTCTGCAAGAATACAGAGGGCTCGACGCGAATATGCCAGTTTACGCTGTCTCTGGCTAAAAGGCGATATAAGACAATCGACCAGCAATCCGCTCCGTCCTCCTTTAGAGCTGCGAGACTTGGTCATTGAAAAAAAACATGAAAAGGATATTCGTCTTTGATCATTTAAAAAGAAAACCAAAACATGGCCATGGTAGAGAATAGACACAATAATTAAATGACCTTGAAACAACCAATCAGATTGTTGCCCAGCATGACAAAGGCATGCTTTTCACATAATCTTCGTTTCAGTATTCATTCTAACTCTAATCTTCTTTGCAAGATTTACTCTAAAGCTAATCATTCTAACCCTATCTGAAAACTACCTAAAGCTTAACCCTAAATCGGGAAGAGACGTGCAACGGAGATTATGAAAGAGCATCGACTTATAATGCTGAGCAGTTGTTTCAAGGTTATCTGACTGCATTGTCTCTTCCTGACTGTTGCCTAAAATGTTATTGTTGATTATAGATTTCTTTACATATTGAGTGGCCGGTGTTGAATACATATGTTTAATTACAGCACTCTTCATTGATCTAATGTTGTTACCTTTTCGTAGCCAAATGGGATAATGTTCTATGACTCTTTCAGATAAAACACGCATCAAACGACCAATACATCTCGCTCCACATGAGCAAGTGAATTGGTAGATACACGCAGAAGTGGTGAAATGCGACAGTTTGTCTTTGGAATTGTCGAAGAACAATGTGTGAAATGAGAATACCGATTGTAATTTAGTACCAAAAAGTTCTTTTTAGGGTGTTACAGATTCTCTCTTCGCAAATGTCCCGATGATGTTGACGATTTGTTTCTTGTGCAAGTGCTTGGAAGACACCGAATTGCATATTCGAATGCCAACACCCAAGTTAAAAGAGCTTCTACTTAAATGCACTTTCGATGTCCAATTCACATTCAATGGGACTATTTGTAGAGAGTAAGATGGTGTGGCTACCGGTTCACCTTTAGGCCCGTCACTCACAGACATTTTCATCGCAATTTTGGAAAATGGTCCATTGAAGTACATCATCGACGATATATATTTATATCCATACTCTTGGCTGTACATTAATACTGATATAATTCAAAATAAGACGTCGAGATGACCGAACATTCGACGTCAGATTATGTCGTCTGTGTTGGATTTATTCACCAACTAATATGTGCTGGTCCTTTCTTTTACAACATGCATATTCACCTTGTTGGGGTACCTAACCTGTCATATGCTCTGATGGTGTTCTCGTGACCACTGTTGCCAGATCTGCCAAGGGCGATGAAATAGTACGTGACCTAATGGTTGTGTGCAAGGTTTGAAGAAGGCTGTGTGTTATTTCCATGCGCCTCGCCGTGATAATGTTTGTGCGTCGGTGGCATAGCGGTTAGGACGCTCGCCGACCATGTACATGGCCCGGGGTTCGAACCCCGCCGACGCACTCCTCTACCTCGCTAAGCCAGAAATAATGCTGGTGAAGAGGAAAGGTTGGGCATAAGGCTAGCAACCCCATCCTGTAAAAAACGCGTTTGTTAATTGCATATTTGTTTGAGTTACAGGCTTCTGGGAATTCCCTGGCACTTTTGGTGTTTCCCCTGTCTAAAATTTCGACATTATTCCAATCAAACCGATGTCCATTTATGTATATATATATATATATGCATTGATATGAAAGAATATATATCATGTCTTTTCACAGCTGATTTGTGTTCCTGGATTCTGAATTGAAGGAGACGCCCACTTTGGCCGATGTAATGCCTTTTACAGTTCATAAAATTTATTTTGTAAATGGTATTAATTTTGTCTTCTTTTTCTGTTGGATCTTTCGGTTTGCACAATATCGAATTAAGTGATTTGACTGGCTTGTGTGCTATATGTATTTCAAACGGTTTCAATATTCTAGCTGTTTTTTCAGAGATTTTTTTATAAATGGTAGGATGAATTTTCTTGTGTTCTTTGATGATGGTTCCTTGTTGGTATTGTGATTCGTGTTTAAACACTTTTTGATGGAATTTCGTGGATAACCATTCTTTTTGAAGACCGTTAGTAGGTATTTTTCTTCCATTCTTTTCGACGCTGGAGTGCTACAGTGTGTTTGAATTCTTTCAAAACAATGTCTGCACACAGTTTCTTTTGTGAGTAATTGGATTATTGCTAGTATAGTTGAGTATTTGATCGGTGTGCGTTGATTTTCTGTGTACTTGTGTTTCTAAACTTCCTGTGTTGGTTCTCCTGATTAAGATATCTAGAAATGGAATTTTGTTATCTAATTCTTTTTCTCATGTGCATTTGATGTCTTCAAATATGTTGTTTATTAATTTATGGGTATATTCCAAATCATTTCTGTTAATTATTACAAATGTATCATCAAAAAAACGTACCCAGATTTTCGGTTTAATTATAGGTAGAGTTATTAATTCTAATATTTGCATGACGGCTTCAGCTATTAATCCTGATATGGGCGATCCCGGAAGGATATTGTTTAGGTCATATATGTTATCACAAATGATAAAAGTGTACCTTCTCTACAGATAAAAAGTCGTCGATGATCTACTTCAATGGAGCATTTTCCAAAATTGCGATGAAAATGTCTGTGAGTGATGGGCCTAAAGGTGAACCGGTAGCCATACCATCTTACTCTCTACGAATAGTCCCATTGAATGTGAATTGGACATCCAAAGTGCATTTAAGTAAAAGCTCTTTTAACTTGCGTGTCGGTATTCGAATATGCAATTCGGTGTCTTCCAAGCACTTGCACAAGAAACAAATAGTCAACATAATCAGGACATTTGTGAACAGTGAATATGTAACACCCTGAAAATAACTTTCTGGTGCTACATTACAATCGGTATTCTCATGTCACCCATTGTTCTTCAACAATTCCAAAGACAAACTGTCGGATTTCACCACTTCTGCGTGTGTATCTACCAATTCACTTGCTCATGTGGAGCGAGATGTATTGGTCGTTTGATGCGTGTTTTATCTAAAAGAATCATAGAACATTATCCCATTTGGCTACGAAAAGGTAACAACATTAGATCAATGAAGAGTGTTGTAATTAAACATATGTATTCAACACTGGTCAGTCAATATGTAAAGAAAGCTATAATCAACAGTAACATTTTAGGCAACAGTCAGGAATAGATAATGCAGTCAGATTACTTTGAAACAACCAATCAGATCGCTGCTCAGCATTATAAATGGATGCTCTTCCATAATCTCCGTTGCACGTCTCTTCACGATTTAGAGTTAAGCTTTGGAGTTGTTTTCAGATAGGGTTATGATTAAGGTTAGAATGATTAGCTTTAGAGTAAATCTTGCAAAGAAGATTAGAGTTAGAATGAATACTGCAACAATCTGATTGGCTGTTTCAAGGTCATTTAACTGTTGTGTCTACTCTCTAACATGACCATGTTTTGGTTTTCTTTTTGAATCATCGTACACAGACTTTTCTGGATTGTGCACCCTAATGTATGTTTATGAAAAGATAAAAGTTTATTTAATTAAGTTCACATACAAATTGGAATACATCCATAAATAGCGGATATTTTGACAATTTAGTTCTAAAACTAGTTTTAGTACTATTATAAATGAATATTACGACTATTTAAACGAATTATGCTTGGAAGAATACCGAAATTAGATATAACATCATAAAAATTCTCAATATATATTTGTGAGCAGCGGTAGATAAGACTGCTTGAATTAAGCGAAAAAACATTGCGAAGTAATTTTTAACGGTTACAGAATTGAAAGATGCGTTACTCATTAGTAAATTCGAATGTTTTTGCAAAATAATATTTCAGTTAATGAAACTGTGATTGTTGAAAGTTGAGAAACTGGACACTGAACAAACACATGAAAGTTAGTAAAGATTTCTTTCTCATGTTCTTATGTAGCTTTTGTCATTGTTACTGGTTTTACAGGATTACACAATACATGTAATTGTTCAATATCATCTTTGATATGATGTAACATGTCTTGTCGAAGAGAATATCTTGGCTTCATGTGAACAGTTTCCGTAATTGCATCATAAACTGCCACTGTTTGTTTTGTAGTGGTGTTCAAATAATTTCTAGAATGAAATATAAGACAATTTAGAATATACTACTACTAATAATAATAATAATGATTTGCTTTGTTCCAAAACAATACTTATGATAGAGTGTGGCGTTTTCAGCATTTTGTACAATATTGCACCTAATTTGCTCTGCAACAACAGAAAAAAGCAAATTACGCAGTCCCTTAAAAAAAATGGATAACACCCATCAACTTTTGGCATTAGCAGAAAGAGTTGGCTCAAAGTGATGTACAAATGTATAATGATACGAACAGTAATAATGGTGTTAATATTTCAAAAGATAGTGGGGATAGTGAGTGTCAACATCAAAAATTAAAAATATGGGAAAATAAATGAGTCATTTCTTACGCTAATTACAAAGTGGGTCGTAAGTATCATGTCTAACACCATCTTTGTCACATAAAACGCTGGTAGGTGTGCAAAATAGGGTATTTTTGCGTTTCTATAATTGGTAGTGTGAGAGGGCATTTAATCTTGTATAATGACTTCTATTCCTACCTGATGATGAGATTCAAGAGGGCGGGAACGTTGAGAATAGAGAAGGTGTTGAGATTCTACCAATATGGATTTGGACGATTTCTCACATGAGCTGTTCAGGTCTCTATCGAATAGAGTAGTGACGAGCTGACTAAATGGTGGAATGCAATTTACCCTACTAACAACCTGTAATACCTTTCGAAAAATGACATGGTACTTTTTGAGTAACCGAGGAAAGACTAAGGTAAGGGAAATAATAAGAAACAAAAGGTAAAATGCAAGAGTTAACAAACTGTAAAAGTAAAGGTTGAGTATAATTCCAGATTGTCTTAACCTCTTTATGTGGAAGGTGGTTAGATGGAACATTTTCTTGCAAATAGACAGGATATGAAATGACCAACCAAGAAAGGTCAGAGGATATACTAGCTTGGTGTGACCTAGTGGATGCAAACATGTCCTCAATTATTATTACAGAAATAATTTATGACCCTTTAAATGTTAACATGTTCGTAAAAGTCACACTAATGATGTGTGTTTTCTATCAATTTTGAAGTATAGACTGTTAGGTCCCATCAATACGGAGTACATTTCCAGTTCACAACGTAAAACAGTTAGTTGCTTCCCTTTTAATTCAATTTTTTCGGTTAAAAGTGAATTGCGAATTCCCGAGATTTTTTCCGCTCATGTTAATCACTTGAATGGGCATAGATTAGTAAAAGTGGCAAGTAATTTAATTTAATGCAGTAGAACTAATCATAAGTGCACAATAACAAAACATTTTCTTCACAAAAGCATCAATGTTACTGATAAAAAAGTTTTGTTTTCTTCCCTGAATTTGTGATGAATCCGGAGAGGAAAACGAATGAACTTGTAGCTGACTGGCTGGTTTCAACACAGAGCTTTTTACAGACGTGCAGCAGTTCTGCCGGACTGATAGCTACTACCTTGACGTGTTGGTCATGCTTGCATATAGCAATCACCCAACAAGCTACACTGGTTGGAACTAATGGACCTGAACGTAGACTGTTAGGATAGCGATTAGACTAAAAGTAGTTTCCGGGATAGTGCAAGATTTTTTACACAATGCTGGGATTTTGTGGGCAAAGTTGTTCTGCTGGGGAATAGGTATGTAACAGCTGCAATAAGGTATTCCCCTCAGGTGACCAGCATGCTAGCTATGCTATCTCTGTACTGTGTTGGGGAGAGGGGGGACTTATAAAAGGTCAACCCCAAAAACTGCACATTCATACTTACCCCACGGTGGTCCGTAGAGGGCGGTAAGCCAGTTCAAACAGGACGTGTTTGTGACCGGCCTGAAGCAGATGTTCCCTGGGCTCTGTGGTCATGCAACACTAATTATCTTTCTATTTTAGGTACCCCCAAAAAAATCAACTTCCACAGTTTGGGTAGGCAGGAAGTAACAATCTCCCTTTCACTTCCAAAAGCAGCACATGAAGCTTTCCTGATCAGTCATTCTCCTTTATTCACATCACCCTCATCATCTAGTTTTCCTGCTATTGTTAATACCATTTTGCAGGCTGGTATTAGTCATGAACTCGTAGAATACACCAGGCATGCAACTGAACAGATAAAAAGTCACAGATTATTCGTCTGACTAGTTCGGTTATCGAATTGAACGGGCTTCAATAATGTAATCAGGTTATTACATTATTCGAGTGTTGCCTAAATATATGGCAAGTCGTACACAGGTATTTTTTCACCTTCGCAAGAAAACGCAACAGAGATGCTACTTACAGGAAAATATACATAATCTTAGTTGCAGGCTGAATGACACTAATGGGAAACCATTTACTGAGTATACACTGGAGGATACTATCACTAATAAAACTGATTGTCTTAAATTCTACCTCGACGTATGTTGCCCTAAACAGACACTGTTCATTAAAATACTGGACTGTCTCCCTTCTCCTCATCTCATAAAGCTACGCAGAGAGAAAGAGCGATTAAACAAATCTAAAGACAAATCTGGTCTCAAAAGGTTTAAAATACTCATCAAATCAGAAATCCAATGATTGAACACTGTTTATAAGACTTTTGTCATGTAAAAGTCTTGCAAACATGTGGAAACTTGTTAATGAAATTACTGGTAATGGTAAGCAAAGCGTGAGTGTTCTCTCTGTTAATGTATATACTCTCAATAAATCACCAGTAGATGATAAATACCTGAACAACTCATGTGCGAAATAGTCCAAATCTATTTTCTTTGACCATCAACACTCTGTCTATTCTCAACGTTCCCGCCTCCTTGTATCTCATCATCAGGTAGGACTAGAAGTCATCATACAAGATTATATGCTCCCTCGCACAACCAAGGACAGGAAATCAATGAAACCGTATTTGGCCCACCCGTCCACGTCCTATGTGACAGACACGATGTTAGGCTAAATGAGAAACTTACCCAGGATTCACTGTGTTATTAGCAAAATAATCGGTCCTTTTATTCCCTACTTATTGTAATCTATGGCGACACACGTTCAATTAGCTTACAATTTTAACTATTCACATTATTGCCATCATCATTATTTTGCACTTTTTGTACATTTTTGACTTTATTGTCAGTGTGAATTCCAAAAGAGCTCGTATTATCAATCCTGTACTGTTCTATTTTCTATTTTTGTTTTTCTTGTTGCCCAGTAAATTAGATTGGATACTGTACTAAATATTGAGAATTCATTCCACCCTATATCATGATTACCGTTTCGGAATATAGCGAATTATTATTATTTAGTGTTCAAATTGTTCAGTCTTGACGTTGCATAACAAAACTTAGCTCCAAGTGACAAGATTTGCATTTTTGAGTTGGCGATAGTGTCTGAGTGAAACATCAGAATAACTGAACACGTATTTTTCTGGGCAAGAAGGTAATAAATTAATTTTTTCTTGACAATAGACTTTACACTTTGAGTTAGTTTCACATAATGATATCATGTGTTCTCTTCTTGGCAAATGCAGTAATGGTGTGGTTCTCGAATAATGTTCGTTCTTCTTCATCATCATCAGATAACTCATAGAGAATGTGGGAGTTTCTTCAAGTATTTTGCTTATCAGTTCAGATAATCTAGGTCAGAAAGCACTGATGTGATTCACGGTGTGTATTTCAGTTGGTGAATATATGATTCTATCTGAGAAGGAAGTGATTTTCTTCGGGAAGAAATGTGTTTCAGTAATTTTGAATATTCTAAAGCATTGGGGAAGCATCTCAGTTACGTTTAAGAAGAGAAAAAGGGGTGATGTCATCATGATACCAAATCAAATTCGAAAGTCTATTATCAATGGGAACAACTATTTCCCTTCATACCCTGAAAAATACGTGTTCATTTATTCTGATGTCACACTAACTCACTATCGCTAACATACGTGAAAACAGAATAATGATTGCTTGCAATTTTTAGATGTACTCATAACCAGCCACCAACAAGATGGGTCAATAAAACGATGTGTCTATAAAAAGTCCACATGTACTGGATAGTATCTAAATTATCATAGTTTCTGTCCACTACACAGTATTAAAAGGCATCGGTTAAGTGCTTATTCAGACGCAGCATTCAATATATATATATATATATATATATATATATATACATATATATACAGCCGACACCATTGAAGAAAAAACACAACACCTCGCTGAATTATTCTAAGATGACAACTATCCGCTGAAATTCATTAAGTGTTGCATAAGCATCAAACAGAAAGCTCTACGGATCCAGTCAGTCAGCTCCCAAAAGGGATGTTTATATATCATTTCCGTACAAGGGTGATCAACAAAGTCTGATCACTAAACAATGATTAAGGGCGGTAATCAATAGAAAACACTTACTATGTAGTCAAACTTATTTTCTTAGAGAGAACGAGATCTATACTCCCTTACAGCATCCGAACGATAATGTCACATCCCACTGTGTTTACAAATTTAAGTGTGTATGTGTGAACACACGTACATAGGGAGGACCCGCAGGTCTCTTCAGGCTAAGGCCACGCATAACATATTCCAAAGAATTCGGTGCAACAACAGATAAAACCACCGGATACAAGTGATTCTGAGGACACCTGTCAAACCTCATGTGTAGGGAAGGACATCATAGAGACAGCTTTTAAATCCATACACAGAACAAGGTTGGGTCACATACTTAAATTCGTTGAAGCCTTGGTCATAAAAAGGTTTAAACGTGTCTCATGTGTCCGAAGAAATTATTTGTTATTACTCTGTTATTACTTCTGTTAGTTTCGGGTTAGACCACAGATTGATATCATTTAGGGGACCATTGAAAAACCAGGCAACACTGAACAGCTGTTTCGTCCCATTTTGGGATTTGTCTGCAATACGCATCCACTGGGTCTGAAACCCACGCGACTATACGAACAACTTCGTTCACCTGGTTCTACAACGTTGCTCATGTACGGCTTGTCTAAAGTAAACAGACAAGACGACTCACTCCGCCTAATACTAAACACGACGAAATTACCCATATCACACAATCGCGAAGTGGCTGGTATAGATGCCTGAGTCGATGAAAAAAACTGTCGAGATACAACCTCTGAGACATCTATGGTTTTACTGTTAACTGGGAAGATAAGGAAATGGTCTCGCTAGATGTCATCTCTCTTCACCAACGTTCCACTGACAGAAACTATAATGGTTTCTTTGTGACTTCATTCAATCCAGTAGCATTTATATTGGTATAACAATCCATTATATACAAGAGCTGCTTGTACCATCCAATTACAGCGTCTACTTTTTCAGATTCAACAACGAAATATGCAGGCAAATTGTGATAGAGTAACAATTGATTCTCCTCCATGATCCCCGTCTTGGCCAACTGATCTGGGGCTAGACTAGAAAACAGTTCCTTATCATCAACTGTTGACGAGATCCATCTCCACAAGAAGAGACACATTGATGATTCACTTTCATTATTTGTGGTGAGAATATGGATATCAGAAACCTACTCCAAACCTTGAATAGTACCCACCCTAACATCAAGCTTACTCTAGAAGTTGAATCTGACTCAATGTTTCATTTCATCCTTGACCTTCAACGACGAATAAATGCTGACAATTCGCTAACAGTTCAGTAACAGAACAGGCCACCTGGAGAATTCATCTCCATTTGATGAAAAATTCTTCAGAGTCATTTAATAGGTCAGATCAAATCTCTATTGCAAAGGGAGGAAGGGATTTCAAGGCATCTGGCTGGAATTAGCTAAGGGAGGCAATATCGATCTACAAAGTTCAAGCCCACGACGTTATGTATACAAAAAAAATACGTCCAACCGTTGTCCCCCTCATGACCATCATAAGTAGTCAGTCCTTTCACAATGATGATAAGCCTATTTATCTTTCTTATCCAATCTTCCTGTTTATTTGTTATTTTAACATTGGTTTTTTAATTCTTATCTGCATTGGTATGTTTTTTATCCGAATTCCCGTTTATTAGTCTTCGAAATTTTATTAATTCAACTCTTGACCGATGGGAAGTAGTTCTGGAACCTTGTTACTCGTTTACTATAAACACACAAATATTCAGCCTATTTGACGATGACTTTGTCGAGTGGAAAAAGTCTCTTCGTTGCAACCATCTTTTAAATAATGCTATTTCTCATGTTTAGGAGAAACTTGCGAATCAGCAGGTTGTAAATATTTTAAATACTCGCCAGAGTTAATAGTGCTACTACAGTTCATACATTTACCAGATTGAAACAAAATGAATTAGGGAAATTATATGCAAAACTATAATGATAGAGGTTGTTTTCGGTTGCCCAATTTTTTAAGGAACCCGCCGATGCCAAGATATGTATAAAAAAAGCAAAGTACTGTAATCAATCAACACTCATCACGTCCTGAACCTACCTAAGCGCCTGTTTCATTGACTCAACAGATTGAGTGACAAAATATATCTGTTGATAACCAACATCATCGTAGACTTGTACAGCTGCTTTATTGATATCAAGTGGTGCTTTAACAGAATCCTCACTGAAAGCATTCTCTAATTCACCAGGGGACGACATAATTCCTGCTCCCATGGCGCGTGTTTCACCATTCTCATAACACAGACCGAACTCCACCGTAAACCAATATAACTGTAAAGAAAGCAAATACAACTGGTATCTATACTGAAACTCCAGTTTTATTCAAGCATCGTGAGAAATAATCAAAGAGAAGAAGCCAGTTGAGTTCCGAAGAAAACTTCTGTCTCACAGTTTGTTTTTTTCACTTACTGTGCATTACGTTTGTAGATATATTTTTTTAAGTAAATCAGAATATGGAAGGTGAAATTGATGGAAAGTTTAACTGCCCTCCTTGACATCGTGCTATACAACACCTGGAAGGTGGTGCGGTCTGAAGAGGTTAATTTTTACTGAAGGCGGCCGACATGGAATGGACAATGCCTAACATTCTAGCAGGTTTTTTTCAAATAACTGGCTACAAACGAACACTAGTAAAAACACTCTGTTCTTCTGTAGAGTCCGTCAGGAGAATACACTCTACAGAGATTAGGGGAATAATTTCCGATTCTCGAAAAGGTGCTGAAAAACGACGGTTATCCCCATAAACATTCATTAGCAGGTACGTAAGATGCACTGAAAGCTCTGATCCCAAGTAAATCACAGTGCGAAAAGGAGACTATCTCCATTCAGCTCGATTTAAGGGTAATATCTATACAGGAATAGTCAATAGAAGAATGAATACGTCACTAAACAGACTGAGCCTATATTTAGGTTGCTTTGTTTCCCATTTATTGGACAACATGCTGTTTGGTGCAATCAAAAATTGACAGACATACTTTTCATGTTGACTGTAACTGTTTATACAAATTTACACGTGCCTGCGGTAAGAAGGTCACACCTTTGACTTACTAAACATCTTCCAAACGTTAACGGCAAAAGGTAACAAGCGCTTTTAATAGTGCCACTGCCAGGTATTTCCATGATATGTATCAAAAGTGGACGTCGCAAGATCCTTCAGAAATATCAGTAGACAAAAGAGCTTTTGTCCCCTCAAATTTTCCGAAGCAATCTCTATTAAACGCCTTAAACTCGATTTATGCGTTCAAAAGGAGGAAGCGGTTATCAGTCTTTCCTTACCGCCCTAGTAACAACTAATATTCTTTATTCTCTCCTTCATTTGATTACATAACGCCGAGAATTCTGTTCTGTTTGATTGTGGTTGTTTGCAATAGAGTGATCATTATTGTCTTCACCGTTGTATGTATAAACTGATGCTTTTCTTTAAGCTTGAGCTCTCTGGATAAGTATGTTAATATTGTTTCTGTACATAAACTAAATAATATGTCTTGGCTGTAAACAGGTGATGATGAAAAGCCAAGGAAATAAACAACGATGGCACCATTTTATTCTGCACAAACCGCCACTGTTGTTCTTGCCTTATTCAAATGTATAAAAGGGAATAAATGTATGAAATATGATGTAATGTCAACCGAGTAGTGAAATATAACACATGAATTTAGTTTTAAAAGAAATGAGAACTCGAAATCCGGCAAGCAAACAGGAAATTAAGAGGGCGAACAAAGTAATAAGGGGGAAATTTTCTAGAATGGATTATTTTGCCGAATCAAAAGTTATTCTTAAGGTATTGTCGAAGAATCTGCACTAAGAAGTGACATTTCTATAGAGGCACTCAGCACTTCAGACCGAGAGCTCGATAAAAAGGAAGTGAAGTTGATTTCAAAAGAGTTGGCGTTCTTCAGTCGGTGGCATAATGAATAGCTAGCAATTCGGCGTCTGAAAAGACTAGTTCACCAGTCTAAACTCACAAAAGCAACACTATCATCGACAGAAATGCCCATAAATCAAATGAGGCATCCGAGTACTACCCACTATCAAGCACATTATCTAACATTGAACATTTATTCTTGTTATGGCCATCCGTAGCCTTGAAGCATTCAACATAAAACGGACAAATATGTACTGATGATCGAACTAGTTTTCACAAATGAAGGGTAGGCAAGAATAAGACTAGGCTGCCTGCCTACTATCACCGATGATATTCCTAATTATGGGGAACTAGATTATGCATCAGACTGTGAGTGAGGAGCGATTGAACAGGAATAGGCTTGACCTATAAGAAGACTCTAGAAGATCTGCATTTTGCCGAAGATTTATGTAGTACACAAACTCGAAGACTTACAGCAAGGCGAAAACCAACAAACTGGATGAAGAAGCAGCCACGGGAGACAGGAAGACGGGTGAACATGAAGAAGACGTAACTGATGAAAATAACCGAGGAAACACCAAAGATGCAGTCCAGAAATTTCGATATCCTTTGTTGATACTCCGAAGCATCAGAGACTAGCAAACTCTCGAATATAGGCTAAATTTGCCCAGTAATAAAACAGAAAATCAGTCGGATGGCAAGGAAGTTCAAATTGCAAGTGAATAATATTGATCAAGAGAGGCGTAAATAAACAACGAGCCTTGGCAATGATTGGTAAGGTATGCAAACATAATGTGATCGGAATAACCTGCTTTTCAAGGGGAGCTCCGGTGAAATTTCCCCTCCTCGAACTGTGTTAGTTGCAAATCACTAACCAATTTGCAAATTACCAATTTGATCATTATTCATGTATGTACGTTGAGATTAAGCATGAATATTTTTGTTGCAGAATTCCATCATGGGCTGACGTCAACTAGAGAACCCAATTATCTTTCAATGAAATTTTTAACATCATCGGCTGTACCATCCTAGTCAACTGTGACGGGAAGCTGAGAAGTAAAATGTTTATTTAACTTGGTAGAAATATTTAAACAAACATTCTCATTGCAATCTCCGGAAATTAACCTAACTCATGGAGATGTCTTCGTCAAGAGAACTAACACAGGAACTATACAAACACATGCATACGGAAAATCAACTTCAACAGCAATAACCCAACTACTCATAAAAGAAATTGTGTGCACATATTGTTTAAAAGACTCTAAACGCACTGTAGCACTCCAATGCACAGGAGAATGGAAGAAAAAAACCTACCAACTATCTTCGAAAAGAATGTATACCCATACAACTTCATAAAAAAATGTTTAAGCTCAAGTCGCAATATCAACCAAGAGGAAACCATCATCAAAGAACAGCAGAAAATTCACTCTAGCATGTATAAAGAATATCTCTGATATAAGTAACGGCTAGAATAAGAAGACCGTTTGAAAAAGACATAGCACACAAGCCAACACAATCACTTCATTCGATATTATGCAAACCAAAAAAAATACAACATTAAAAAAAAAGAAAATAAGATCAACACCGTTTACAAAACAAATTGCACGAACTGCGATAGCCATTACATCGGTGAACGTGGGAGTTCCCTTCGCATCCGAATCCAAGAACGTAAATCAGCTGTGGAAATGCACAACACATGTATTCTTTCATATCGATACATGTAGATAATTACGGACACGAATTTCGTGACTGGGAGAACTGGGAAATTTTAAACACTGAAAATACAAAATATGTTGTCAGGGAATTTCTAGAAGCCTGCTTGATACTCAGAAGAATCAGTCAGCGATTCACCAACACTAACAGCTATAGAGCAAGCTTACCAATTAATAAAATAGAAAATAAATCACTTGACAAGAAAATTCAAATTCTGAGTGAGTAAAAATGATGAAGAGAGAGACGTTTGGTAACAGCCAATCACGACAGTGGTTGTCTGTTAGGAGGTAGACAATTATATCACCAGTCATGGAGAATACAAATAAGTCCATTTCAAACAATAGCATGCGCTGAAGCGATGTTGTCTAGATGGAAGTCAACGTACGCTTCTCAATAAAATCTGCAACCAGCTATCCTCAGTGTAGTAACACAACTGAATTATAATCAAATACATTTTTGACTTTGAACAACAAAAGTAGTGAAAAAGAGGCATTTTTAATCTCTGGAACAAGAATAAATTTGAGAACAGGGGGAACTTACTGTTGACAATTTACTGATTTCTTCTTCTGAAGCACCCAATGAGGCAAGACCAATTTCTTGAGAGAAATCAGCGAACTTCCTGTTTACCAGCATAGGCATATGACCGATTAGTTCGTGAATACAATCTCTAAAGGAAAGAAGCATCACTTTTTAGAAAAAATATTATGGTTGGAATTCAGCTTGGATTAGTTGGAAAACGCAGAGAAATATCCTAACGCGGATGACAATCCATCAAGTCTGATTGAAATGTGATGTGGGTAGGCCATTCCACACACCCACGCAAACTGAATACATAGAACGATCGAATAGATATTCCTTCTCAACGCATGCCACAGAACTGCAGCCTTAGATTACGTGTTACACGAAGAAAGCTACCGTTTTGAGTGAAGAACGTAATAGCCGCCTCCAAATACATGGGAGGATACAAAATATATCCCTCAAGATTGCAGGCCTGCTGAACATTCAAGCATCTTGGTTAGCGTTCCTCAAGAGAATAAAAACGAAATCCATTATTGCGTCTTCTACAAATATTATTTATTTTGTTCCCCTGGGTTCCGAGTGGATCATACGGCTTCAACAACACGTTTTCACTTTGTCCTATTTTCTACGGTCCTCTTTGGCTGGCTGGATTGCCAATTACCCATAGTCTCTCATCTCCTCCAACTCACACAATCTCCTTCATGCCACAATTGGATAGACGCCCAATTCAACCTTTCCTACTAAGGTCCCATTCTACCAATGACATGGTGCACATTTGTTGAGCAGTCGGCTCATGGCTGGTTTGTTCCATAGTTTCTTCTCACTAATTCTTTCTGATCAGAAGGCCATTTCATCTTCAGTATGAAGCCGTTGATAAAAGTCCGCAGTTGGCTGTTCAAAATGCTTCTCGTCACTCGCACACGCCAAGTTTCTCACCCATATAGAAGAACTAACTGATTTGACATTTCTGTAGAAAATTTGAATCTTGTTGTTTATGTTAAGGTGGACTGCAGGAGATTTCCAAACTGATTTCAGAATGGTGATGAAAGTCTGTCTTGCCATCCTCACTCTGACTGGTTGGCTTCGACACCTTCATCCGTGCCACCAACTGTCTGTATTTCGGTCGATTCTGACTGCCTGGATGAGTGAAGAGGGGGACTAAGCTGTTTCATCAAACTTTCCCCGTAGATGGTAATTGGTGGTGGTTGTTGTTGCTTTTGAGTAGTTGTTTGTTTGGTTAGTTGGTTATCTTCCTCACCTGCGTCTTCTCTATGTCCACCTGGAATAATGTCTTCACTGCCTGCCATCTTCTTCATCCGATTTGTTGGTCTTCGCCTTGCTGTAAGTCTTCGAATTTGTGTGACATTAAACGGTAACTATCATCGATGGGCGAAATCCATATCTTCTAGAGCCTTCTTATTGCTTCCTCGGAAAGCAATAATTTACTATCTGACGCAGAGTAAAGTTTTATAAAGGAATGATTGTGTCTGATAGATCTTCTCATATAAAGAGATAGTTGAACGGTGTTGAAGAATAAAAGAATCTGTTGACATAATAATAATCATACGTCTTGGTGAAGCGTTATGACGATAAAGTACTTCTACTTAGTTAGTCTACAGAGTAATGTTTGACTCTTTGGGATCAAAGAGGTACTTGTGTGTCGGGGATGGAGAGTAGTGTTGAACTTCAAAACTTTTTTCTTGTATTATTATTATTGTTCCCTTGGGTTCCTAGTGGAACATAGGGCTTCAACTACACGTCTCCAATTGCTTCTGTCTTCTGCTGTACTTTTCACCTGCATCCATGTTAGTCCATACTGTTTCGACTCCTCTTCACACGATCTCCCCCATGTCACCCTTGGACGTCCCACTCGGCGCTTCCCTTTCGGGTTCCACTCGAGCACTGGCCTGACGCCCGATGTCACTCAGCGGCCTTCTGAGCGAGTGTCCAATCCATCTGCACTTTCTCCTGCATATTTGTTGAGCGATTGGTTCCTGTTTTGTTTGTTCCCATAGTTTCTTGTTGGTGATTCTTTCCGGCCATCTCATCTTCACTATAGAACGAAGACAGTTGTTGATAAAGGTTTGCAACAGGCTGTTGGAAATATTCTTTGTGACCCGCCGCCAAGTTTCTGATCCGTATAGCAAAACTGACTTGACGTTTGCATTGAAAATCCGAATTTTGTTGTTGATGCTGAGTGACGAAGATTTCCAGATTGGTTTCAGGTTGATGAATGTGTTTCTCGCCTTCCCGATTCTCGATTTGACATCCTCGTCCGTTCCTCCTGTAGTTGAGACAATGCTCCCTAGATGAGTGAATGAAGTAACCTCTTTCAAATCCCTTCTGTTGATGGTGATTTTTTGAAAGGCACAAAATTTCGTTGCACAGGGTAAAATGTTCAACCTTTTATTGCTTCTTCTTCTACGCATCAGAGGATTATTTTTCCATTCAGAACAAAATTCAGACAACATAGTAGAAAAGTACAAAAGCCATTAGGATGACATTTCTTTATAATGTACGAGTCCTTCTCCCAACAACGTATTTATCCTGGGAACCAACATCTAGAAGAAGTATGTGTCTGCGTCTTCAACGAAATCACTTAAGTGGGGAAAAGAAAACGATATACATCTAGTAGAAAAGGAATTACATGGCTCGTAAGCAGCCTATCCACAGCCGAAAGTCAGATGTTAACCTTAAATCGTATTCTACCCATGTGCACACTTCTAAAAATAAAACAAAATACTTGCTGTAAACTCACGGTTCAGGTGTGTGTAAAGGTCTTGAATGATGACGTATGTACTGAGTACTTTGAAATACTCTAAACGCCAGACTTGCAAGAAAATCTCTGGGTGTCACTAAACCAGCTACAGGTCGAATACGAAATCCTGACGTTCCTATAGGAGAAGGTGTTGTAAACAGAAATAGGTTTTCTCAGCAAATTAAATATTCAATATTTAACCATTACATATTAGTAAGCGTAAAATAAAGTCACATCTGTTTTTCGTCCGTCACATTCTATTTCTAAAATTACCGGTGACTCGTACAAGATCGAATTCATTCATTTTCAATTAAAATGAAAATAATTCCATATGACAATGATTCATAAGCTAGAAGTCATTGATTCATGAACTATAAGAATACACTACACCGATAAGAAGACTCTAGAAGATCTGGATTTCGCGCATTGGTGATCTATCCTGTTTAATGTCAAACAAACTCCAAGACTTACAGCAAGGCGAAAATTGACAAACTGGATGAAGAAGATGGCAGGCAGTGAAGACAGGACTCCAAGTGGACAGAGAGAAGACGCATGTGAGGAAGATAACCAACCGAATAAACAACCAACCACTTAACAGTAAGACCAACAACAACCGACACCAATCACTATCAATGGGAGAAATTTGATGAAACAGCTTACTCCCGCTATTCACTCATCCAGACAGTCAACATCGTCTCAACTACAGAAACAGGTGGTGGCACGAACGAAGATGTCGAAGCCAGACATTCAGGTTCGGAAAGGCAAGACAGACTTTCATCACCACTTTGAAATCAGTTCGGAAATCTCCTGCACTCAGCCTCAACATAAACAACGAGATTCGGATTCTCTTCAACACAAATATCAATTCAGTCAGTCAGTCTGTCAGTTCTTCTATATGGGTGAGAAACTTGGCGTGTGTGAGTGATGGAAAACATTTCCAATAGCCTGCTGAGAACTTCTATCAACTACTGCCCACTTCGCTGGTTGGCTCCATATTGAAAATGAAACGGCCATCTGGCCAGAAAGAATAAGCGATAAGAGACTGTGGGGGCGAATCAACAAAGAACCGATTGTTCAACAAACTTGCATGAGAAAATGGAGATGGATTGGGCACACGCTGGTTGAGGAAACCGTCGATTGACATCATGCCCAATGCAGGCCATTATTCGAGTGGAGACTAAACGGGAAACGACGAGTTGGACATGGTTTGTGAGATATTAGTATATAGGAGTTCGTAAGAAGAGAAGGGGAGATGCGAGATTATGACCAGTCGTGTGCCCATCTGAAAAGGACAGCAGGAATTAGAAGGAAGTGAAAGCGTGTTGTTGAAGATGTATGTTTCAACCGAAGGGAAGAATAGTAATATAGTATAAGGCATTTGACTGAACCTTAGGTAAGTAAATCATAATAAAACAGACAGCCTTGATTTTAAACCTTCAGAATGTCGTGAGTGAGTGAGTGGTCTGAAGCAACTTTCCGATGACCTTCGCCTATTTTATCGTTCCAAATGACTTATTACTGAACAAAGAATATTCTTTTCAATAAGTTGCTCTTCATCAGTTATATGCGTCCATAATAATAATTAAAGAATTATTCTTATTGACAACATTAGTGGTTTTTACAGATAACATCGAATCATTGACGTCAGAATACCAAAAGTTATTCGAACAACCGTATCAGAAAATTCTCATTTTATAACCTATATGTATGGATGTCATACCTTCATTCTCCGTGAAAATATTTTGGCCAGGAACGCAATAATAACTCGGTTCAATGACGTGCATTGAGCTATCAAATTAAAGTGTGAGGAGCAATCCCAAAATAGAATTGCCTTTCTAGATCTCCTTCTTACAAGAAAACTAGGCGGCAGTATAGGGAGAAATTTTCATAAGAAAAGTACTTGGACAGGATAATGTACACATTTTCTTCTCCAGTACAAAAGTAATTTATTAAGGACCCTTAGCTACACAGTCAGAGCGATATACTCAAAAGACATAATAGAAGTTGAACTTAGGGTTGATTGTATAGGAAACTTTAACGGAAAATAGCTATCCAGCAAACTTCATCAGGAAACAAAGACATCACCAAGAAAATAATAAAGGACATTTTCCTCCCGGTAAATAAGAAGTCTTTATATGTATGACTGCAATTCAAGATTGACGTATCGAGTGAAATAATTACTAACATGTCAAGGAAATCTTTTCATCAGAGTACTTTTAATGCTGATAGACTACGAGTCATATTTTCTACACCACCACCGGTTGTGATTCTTCAACTGAGAATGAAGTACCCAGACTAGACTAGTCACCACTTCTTCTCATTGAACCTAACAACTGAACTGTGCTTGTGGTAAAGCGAGTTATATCGGCCGTTGTTCTGCCAACTTGATTTTCCTGCTTGCTAGGGAACACCTACAAGTGTGGTGTGGCTAAATAAAGGAGTAATGGAAACCATCATCAACAAACAGTCCGATATTAGACGATCAACTGGTACAAACTGGCAACAAAACTAGCGTTCTTGAATCCTTCTCTCCATCATCTATCGCGTATCGAATATTCCAAACAGCAGAATCTATTGTGATTCGCCTAAAACACTCAATTCTGTATGTGTAGCAGAAACAGGTTTAGCCAATACTGCTGTGAAGTCTCCAAATTCATAAATGCCTTATTAAGTTGTCATTCTTGGTTTGGCCCTCCACCCTGTACAAAGAAATTCCCCTACCCCTCGTTATAACAATTGGATAAAATAACCTGTCCTTCTTGATATAAGTATAAAACTTGGGCGCTGTGGTAGAGCATAACTCCATTATGGATAAGATTTTATTTTGATAAATCACACAGTGTTGTACAGTAATATTAAGTGATATCAGTTTGTCTTTGTTATCCAGACGTAGACAATAACACTGAAATAGACATACACACAAACAACGCAGAAAACCTTCAGTCCCAGTTTTCTACCCCGTCCTTGAGATTACCATTCATCCAAACAAAGTTTATAAACAATATGATTAGAATTCAATGAGAACATGACTCATGAGAACTCATTACTACATATTCGTTGTTATTCTTAATCATTTACATTGGAAAACTTGTATTCATTTTAGTGTCACAATTATATATATTACCACCAACACACACGTTTTGGATTATAATATATTAACAATCTATTTAGACAAAGCAATAAGACGATGTAATTTGTCTGAATCGTGTAGTGCATTGGCGCAACACATTTCGAACAATCTCATCACACACACGGACTTGTCATAGGAATATATGTGAAATTAATAGAGTTAATAAGTGAGGAAATAAATTTAGGTCAAGTTAAAAGGACACATTGAAGGTCAAAATAACAACTTTTCATTGCGAAAGTATTGTAAAAAGTGTTAGAAAATCTGCAAAATTATGAACCTTGAATATTGAAAACAAATTAGTTAATTAATGACTTAAATTTTGTTTGTATGCTTATTTTTCTAACTACCTAATACCCTTGCGTAGTTCCGTATGTTATTTTGTTTCCATGTTCACCCTAAGCACAACTCTTTCATCAAACTATTCACGTTATTACGTGACTCTTCTTTAACAATCAGTCGTGACAACTCATCAGTTTTGTTACTATCCTCTTATATCAACATCCAATTCACCTGAACTTACAAATTAATTTTGTCATACTAATACTTTTTTTAAAAATATATTGTATTCCTCAGTATTCCGTTTCTCAAGAATTTATTAAAACTCAGAAAAAGGGAATGCATACAAAAAGTAAGGACTATCGATGAATATAAAGTCCAGTAGTGCACGTGTAGTACACCTTCCACAGCACCAAAATACAAACCTAAGGCTAAGATTAGAGGATCAAAGTGAATCCACTTATTATTATTAATGTTACCTTGGGTTCCGAGCGAAACATACGGCTTCAACAACACGTCTCCACTTTGTCCTATTTTCTACTGTCCTCCTCAGCTGGCTGGACTAACGATTGTCCATAGTCCCTAATCTTCTCCAACTCACACAGTCTCCTACAGGTAAAACTCGGAAATATTACAAACTCATTGTTTCCCACTCGGGTTCCACTCTATCAATGACATAGCGCACAATTTCCGAGCAAGCCGTTCTCGGTTGATTCTCTCCCACAGTCTCTTATCACTAATTCTTTCTGGCCAGCCGGCCATTTTATTTTCAATATGGAACCAGCCAGCGAAGTGGGCAGCTGTTGATAAAAGACTGCACCTGACCGTTCAAAATGCTTCTCGTCACTCGCACACACCAAGTTTCTCACCACATAGAACAACTAACTGACTGACTTAATATTTGTGTTGAGTACAGTCTGAATCTTGTTGTTTATGTTGAGGCTGAGTGAAGAAGATTTCCAAACTGGTTTCGGAGTGATGACGAAGGTGTATCCTGCCTTTCCGATCCTGTCTTGCTGGCTTCAACATCTTCATCCGTGCCACCACCTGTCTCTGTAGTTGAGACGATGTTGACTGCTTAGATGAGTGAATGGAGGGAGTAAGCTGTTTCATCAAACTTTCCCCGTAGATGACGATTGGTAGTGGTTGTTGTTATTGCTGTTGAGTGGTTCGTTGGTTGTTTGTTCGGTTGGTTACTTTCATCACCTGCGTCTTCTCTCTGTCCACCAGGAGTCCTGCCTTCGCTGCCTGCCATATATATACATATGTGATTGTGCAGCTTGAGAATATCCGCTGGTTGGCCACAGTGACAAGACAGCTTACTAGTACAGTACGGTAAATTTATTGAAAATAAATGCTGAGGAGCAGATTCTATAGGGAAGCAGATGAACACTATAACAGTAGACAGTGACCATTTGAATCAGCGTCAAAAAGAACGATAAATAAAAAAGGAAATTGGTTTAGGAAAAAGAAGACAAATGCATCACAGTTGTTTTCCTGCTTTCTCCCCCCTTCCGCCCCACGATAAATTGAGGGTTGAAGCAGCAGTGGAAACGGACACACGGTGTATGTAAAGATACGGCGAAGAATGCTGATCAACATTCAGCGTCCCGTTAACATATGATGGAAAATCGCATAGTGAAGTAAGGGGCAGAAAGACAACTTACCCTAACGTATGTTGGCTTTCTCGACTGTGTGAAAGCATATAACATTTTGGGAGTTTCAGGCAATCACAGCCATTTCACACAATTATCTGAAACAATAATGTAGGTCAGTCTCTTGAGAAATGTAAAGGCAGTATTTGGCACAATAAATAGCGAAGTATACACCAGATCGTGCTAGACGAAACCAGAAAATTAGCGAATTTTCAGTAACAATAACATCAAAATATTGGATCTCACCAATTTCAATAAATAGCCACAGCGAGATAACTCTTCAAGTGTATTGCGAATTAACAGAGAATGAACAGCCTAAAGAAATTAATAAAGTACAGGAGTGATCACGACAGCTGACATCATTTAGAGAACCACTGGAATACCAGATAGAAGTATTGGACAGCTGTTATGCTTTTCTCAAAATGTCACAGCTGCGAAGAATTCAGGAGTATCTGATTAGTCATGAATTTTCAACACCATTCTAGGAATTAGATGCTGTTGTTGAATAAAAACACCATGAACTCATAAAAAAGCAAAAGAAGATGGAGAAGAATTAAAGGCAACTTACTATGCATAAATTCTGAGACAGTTCTGAGTTGAGGTATAAACTTTGAATTATAATTGCAATATTTTTCTAAGAGTTGAAATCCTTCAATATATTCTTTACATGCCTTTGTGCTATGTAAAGATTTCATTCTTGTGTAAACTGCTCCCCTATAGTATTAAATCAAAATTATCATTAGGAGGAAAAAATAAATCGAGGATGAAAATAGATCATTTAGTTGTTATAATGACTTCATTTTCCTAAAATACTACATTTATCTTTACGTCACTGTGTTTATTTCCCCCCCTCGCCCACTTGTGACCTTGGGACCCCATTGGTTGTCAACTGTTTTAACTTATTAATGTAATTATTGTCTCTCAAGGTCATCTAAAGTATATGTATACGCAATTGCTGTCAATCATTTTCTGTGTTGATACGAGACAGTAGAATCTCTTTACGTCAATGGTCTATCTTCTTGCGTGGTGGTATGTTATCCTGTCGGTGTTGCTGCCAATAGTGATTAGAACAGTAGACTGACAAATCGACTTGATAGAGGAAGTTAGCACAAACTATCAAGTGTATTAACGGTCATATCACTAGTACAGATGTAGCGAGTGAATTCATTTTTTCATTCAAACTAGCAGTGAGATATAATCAGCAGATAATGATGCAAAACACCTAGAACCCTGCAAAGATTATCTGTGGTTATTCATTTCTGTAAGTGATACTTTCATTTGAAGTTGCGTTTACTAACAGTAATAAATTATGTCCTGTAAGGAAATTGAATCAAAGGTGTGAATAGATGAAATAGTAATGGTAGCAGCATGAGATGCAATTAAAATGTTTGTGATCATAATCATAGTTAATTAAATATCAAGTGTCAAGTGTGGCAAAACAACTAGTGTCATACATATATATATATATATATATATATATATATATATATATATATAGAATAATTCATAAAATGGACGTATAGATGAAGGAAGGGGGTGAATAATTATAGGTTTAGTAGCTAAATAAAATAAAAGCATTACGTAACACGGTGTGAAATTTGATAAGATAGAATTCAACATTGCAAAATGAGATTTGATTTAAAATGACAGTTGGGAAAAGCGAGAACAGTTCAGAGTGAGCATAGTAACACTAATTATACTAGTGATAATAGTCGTAATTATTAGGGAAAGGTACGTAGAATACGACAGCATATTCCAGCAGCATGGTTTTACAAGGGAGAAAGGAAGTGGGTGCAAAGCTCTACTCTAGAACACCTGATCGACTCCTGTCACTCTGCCAACCCTAACTATGATTTTAAGATCATCTACCGAATCCATGCTAACTTGCCGGCCGCATTTTCTTAGTTACAGACTTCTAAAGAAGGTGAAGGCCTTGACCATTCATGAATTTAAGCCAGACACCTTTGTGTACAAAAGAAGTATGCACAGTCTCTACTTCTGCTTTGACCGCAGAGGGACAGACATTTATTTATGTATTTATTTTGTTTATATAGTTAATCTATGTACCTTTCCCTCATTGCTACGATTATTATTATTACTATTCCCACTCTGAATTGTTTTCGCCTGTTCCACTTATTATTCTAAATCCAAAAAGCATTTATTTTACAATGCTGAATTCTATCTTATCAAATTTCGCACCACTTTATGCAACACTTTATATTAGACCACTAATCCTATAATTATGCACTCCTTTCCAACACCCGTACATCTTATGAATTATTCTATACATAACACTAATTATTTTGCTACTTGACATTTAACTATGATTATGATCACAAACATTTTAGTTTTAATTGCATTTCATATTATAATTATTATTTTATGCATTCACCGGCTATAATTTCTTAAAAACCGTATATATAAGATTGTACACCTTGATGATAAAGTTGCTCAAAAGAGTCTCTTCGCTGAATACTGTGTTCTTAATGTTACAATGGGAATTATTAAATTATTGTAAAAATATTTAATTGTGACATATTCTGTGTATTAACAGCTGATGTTGGTCTTACTGAGAGGTTTGGATTGTGTTGCCGTGGCAGCAGTAAAAATTGAGCTATGCCAGCTGGAATTGTGAAACCACCGCCGATACCACCAGTATCGGCTATTCATTGGAATCTTTAGTTAATAATGCCACAGTAAAGGAACAAAACTACGAGGACGTTTGATGTCAGCAGATATATTAGGCAGCTGAATCTTTTAAGTTAATAAAAAGTTCAGGAGTACATTTTGTTGGACCAAGGACACTACTGAGGAACGGTCATCTCATGTATTGGGTTAATCATGCCACCCAACTGGATAATGCCTCTCCTCATATTTAGTAGAAGGATGAGAATGAGCAGGTTGTAGATATTTTAAATACTCGCCAGAGTAAACAATACTATTAGAGGTTACATTTTCCTGGATTTAAACAAATTGAATGAGAGAAATTAAATGGAATATATATTGATGAAGGTTTTTCGGTAGCCGAAGTTTTAATCAGGCCCACGTTGCAAAGTCTGCACACAGATAGTGTTTTTTAAGTAATATGCCTTTTAGAATGATTATGATTTTCGAAAAATGTTTTTGAAGACCAGTCACTATTCTGTTATCAGTTCGCTATTAATGTATCAAATTTCCGTTTATGAATTATGTAATCACAAATCAACTGCACCGAAATATCCACATCTGACGTTACATGGTTAAAGACAGATGTCCGAAAGCTCTGGGACTAAGTTTCATTGTTATTGGCACCAGTCGGTTAGGTGTATCTACAGCCTCGAAGCACCTAATGCCCCTAAAGATATTCAAACCCATGTCATACCATTCTGCAGTCCCCGAATATCTAAGTGATAGAGTCTCTGATCACAGCTTTGAATGAAGCGAGCTTCCATATCTTGTACAATTATTCCGACTTTTGATATTGTTGTCCTATCAGCTGGATAGTTTACCTGAGAAGCTTTCATCGCCTTACTAGGCAACGTTCTCAGCGCGTTCAACTGAAAGAAACAAACGATATCAATACAAGTAAACTAGAGGGCGTAAAAACATTCACGAAAACAATCAATCCCGATTTTCAATATTACCAGAAGAAATGACTAATTGACTCGTGGAGGGAATTAGAAGATCACTTCGAATTGAATCGTGCACGTGCTGAGAAAGTTGCTTAGTTAGGTAATGAAGGCTTCGCAAATAAACCATCCAGCTGAGAGCGCACAACTGCGTCAAAATCATTTACTTGAGCTACAAGTGTTCTCCATCATATCTAATCCGACTTTATAAGATAACTAAGTCACCTAGCACTGATGACTTAAATAATAATATTTGAAAACTGTGGTAAACATGACTCATTAACATACTATGAATCATACTTCTGTTAGTTTATGTAAAGTAATACTCATCTTGAACAACTGTCAATAGATTAGGAAATATTTTTGGCGCAAAAAAGAAGCAAGAAACTTACCAAGTTTCGATTTCTTTTTCAGTGTATTGAACTTCAGGTATGGGGTCACCGCTAAAATAAAAATCAAAAGTGTATGAAACAATCAGTTCACTAATGAATTCTTTTTCTAAATTTAACTCGCATTTGTAACGTTTATTCATAAACGAATATCAAGAATTTATTGTTTTCTTACCTACTCTAAAGTTACCTTTAAAGATGGAGGTTGTATCTGTGGGACTTATCTCCGCGTAAAGTAATTCTAGGTGAGTCAATCTATGAACGTAATGCCCAGTAAGTATGAAGAAGTAAATGATAATGAGTCGGGCTCACCCTGAGGAGAAATTTGAGTGATAATACTCGCCAGGCAGTCGAAGGGAACTATACATTAATATTACTTATAATTTCCCTTATTCACTTTGTTTCAATCTAGTAAAGTATGAACTCTAATAGTGTTGTTTGCTCAGCCAAGTATTTAAAATATTAATAACCCGCGGGTGCTCATGTCTCCACTGAACATGCGAAACAGCATTATTCAACTGGGTGGCATGATTATCCCAATGCATGAGATGACTGCTACTCAGTAGTGTCCTCAGTCCAACAAAATTTACTCCTGACCTCTTTATACTTGGCATTCTACAGAATGTCATCGTGTATTTCTTGAAGGAAAGAGAAAGGAGATGTCATAATGATGAATTGGCTTGCGTTTCAGGGGAGATAGATAGAACTGTGTCACAAAATCAGTCTTTTTTATTCGAAGATCGTGAATGGAGATAAAATATCATGCAACAAACTGGGCTGCGAATTCTGTACATTACATAGACACTGTTCATAATAAAGTTGTTATTATAACTATTTGAAAAGTGAAAAGATCAGTTACAAAATGTTCATCTGTTCGGGAAGGAAAGGGTTTTTTTCGTATTTTTAATGCACCACATGGTTTACAGTTTACAGACTATGCCGAATAGTAGGATTCAGGATTTTAATATTCATGTCAGTTGGCTGAACATTGTAGGACCAGTTCAATGTTGATCAACTGAACGAAAGGTGAGGACACAACACACATACATTCAGGATTCCACTATTTCACAGTTTGGAAAGTTAAGGTAGAGAGGACGGGAGCGAGGATGATAACCAACCAACCGACAACAACAACAACAACCAACACGAATCACCATTAATTGAAGAAATTCTACGAAACAGCTTACTGCCTCCTTTCCCTCATCTAGGCAGTCAGTATCGTCTCAACTACAGATAGGTGATGGCACGCGTCAAGGTGTCGAAACCAGCCAGTCAGGATCGGAAATGTAAGATACACCTTCGCCATCACTCCGAAACCAGTTTTGAAATCTCGTGCAATCGGCCTAAGCATAAACAACAAGATTCGGATTCTGCACAACACGAATTTTAAGTCAGTCACCCAGTCAGTCAGTTAGTTAGTAACTTGGCATGCGCGAGTCGTGAAAGCATTTCCAACATCCAGGGGTAGACGTTTATTACTAGCTGCCTACTTTGCCTCATAGTGAAGATGAAATGGCCGGCTGGCCAGAAAGAATTATAAATGAGAGACTGTGAGAATGAACCGACCGAGAACGGGTTGTTTAAAAAATAAATATGCATTAGAAAATGGAAATGGAATGGGCTGAGGAGAACGTCGAATGACATGGCGCTCAATATAGGCCGGTGCTGGAATAGAACCTTAGTAGCAAATGACGACTGGGGCGCAGTTGGTCTGTGGTTGTCATGGAGAAGATTGCGCGAGTTGGAGGACATGAAAGACTTTGGGCAATCGTTAAGCCAGCCAGCTAAAGAGGACCTCAAAAATAGAACAAAGTGGAAACGTGTTGTTGAATGCTTATATTCCACTCAAAACTGAAGGGGACAATAAATAAAGCAATAATAATAATATGGGATTCACCTTTATCAGTTACGCAGTGGTGAAGCTTCTAGTAAAGCCAACTTTAGGATTTTTCACTAATTAGAAGCCAATTTCTCGCATTTAGACAGGGACATACGGCTTCAGCAGAGCGTCTCAGTTGAAGTGGGTCTTCCACCATCGATTTTACCTGGTACGACATGCGCCTAAACTTTCTTTGCCCTTCACATTATCTACTCTATATTACCCTCAGACCGGTGTTCAACTAGTCGCTTCAAAGAAGTATATTTATAGTTAAGAGAATTTGCAACCCAGTTTGTTGCATGATATTTTGTCTCCATTCACGATATTCAAATAAAAAAGACTGATTTTGTGACACAGTTCTATCTATTTCTCCTGAAACGCAAGGCAATTCATCATTATTATATCTCTTCTCTCTTTCCTTCAAGAAATACACGATGACATTCTGTAGAATGCCAAGTATAAAGAGGTCAGGAGTAAATTTTGTTGGACTGAGGACACCTCTGAGGAGCGGTCAACTCACACGTTGGAATAATCATGCCACCCAGTTGAATAATGCTGTTTCGTATGTTCAATGGAAACATGAGAACCAGCAGGTTATTAATACTTCAAATACTCAGCAGAGTAAACAAGACTATTAGAGTTCATACTTTACTAGATTGAAAAAAAGTGGATGGGAGAAATGATATGCAATATAAATATTGATGGAGGTTTGTTTCAGTAGTCCGTGTTTTATGCAGGCCGTTGATACAATTCTAAATAGCAGAGATTTATAGCCAATTGTAGCGATATGTTGTTGAATGGCTCTTCCCGCTCCATTATTTCGTTGCGACCATTTAAATTTTTTTTAAATCATTGAAGTTTTCGTATTAACTATTCAAAGTAATACTTTGAAAAATCAGGTTAACTTACTATCGGTAATTGAAAGCTATTTCAGCGATCTGTTTTCTTCTTTCCTTATAGACTGGATCATGAAAACCCTAAAATTTCAGAAGTGAGATTTTCGACCAATGAGTGCATAGTTTAAGGAATGACAAACATATATCAGGGATATATCTTTAAATATCCCCATTATTTATATTAGAACATGATGACATATAAGCGAACAATACTGTTGTTTTCAATTCGATATTCTTCTTCAAGGTTTACACTCTAATTCACATGGCTTTATATCTAAAATTCAATTAAACCAATGACGGTGAGTTTGTGGATCAAATTATGATGATAAGTTTCGAGTGCTTTTAAAGACAGTAGTAACGACAATTATAATGATGGCAAAGAGTAATGATAACAATGTTTATGCAGGTGGAGATAAGAATAACGAAGGCAGTAATGCATGTGTATATGTAGACAATTCAATAAATAAATGATTAGGTCAATTCTTTAAAGTTGAGTAATACTAAAGATGAAGTGGACACATAATCACAGTTTAAATAAGTATCATAGAAGTACGAAGAAAATGGAATATAAGAAAGGGTGGGTCAGAGGCTTTCTTTTTCATTACAATTTACCTAGGCCAAGTAAGGGATATAGGGAGAGACAAAGGTAAAACAAACTTCTTTTGTATGCAAAGACACTAGGATTTTTCTCTCGAATCCCCTCGCATAGCTTCGGCTGTGTGCGTAAAAGGCGGGTTCAAATTCCATTCGAATGGTTCGATGGAATGCAAGACGGATAACTTTGAAGGAGACACTTCTTCTGGCCACTTGGTGTTCGTTATCACTATCGATCAAATGAGGTGAAATAGAACTTCTTATAGGTTTTATTTGGTCTTTTCTAAACCACTGAAGAGGGTAGATGCTCAGTAATGATGCGTTTGTTGAGCCAGCTGTCTAGTTGTTCGTCATACATGGCTTTCTCCATAGGAGCAGCTAAATTGATAAATTCACATAGAAGTGGCACAGCTAGGCGAACAGCCTGTCTTTTGTTCCTGCAATCATGAATGCATCTGCCTAGACTAGTCTGTTTATGTATGTAAAGTTAAAACTTAAGGTTTATGTTTTAAGGTAATTTCATTTTCCTTTCTCTAGTTTATTTACTTTTGCTTAACACAGTGGAGTTTTTATGCGTAATTCTGTCTGCATATAGTTTTAGAGTTACATTCTGAAGTTGGATCCCAATATGAGCATTGACTATGCACAGATAAACCATGTGGACAGGTGTACGTAAAGTATCGTAATGATCAGCTACTGTCGAATTCCAAAGGTTGAACTGGACGATTTTGATTGGTTGCAGGATTTCATCATAATAAGCTGACATCGGTTATAGAACACTATTAGAAAACCATCAGGGAGTACTGCTTGACAGCTGTTTCATCTGCCTAGTTTGGGACTACGCTTCAGCAGTACGGACCTACCCACCACCAGAGTTCGAACCCGGGACCTTCTGGTTATAAGGCGAGCTAGCTCGTAGACCATTCATCAGCCACTGGGATACGATTCAATGATCAGCCCGTGATTTCCAACTTCCGACAACTCACGACATATCGAGTGAACACCATTATCATTATTATCCGTTTCATACATTCCAAGCAATACACAGGACTTCAACACCACTTTGGACTTCGCTCGGTTAAATGCTACCACTTTCAGATTGCTCCTTCACTGCCTGCGACATCTCATTTCTTTTTGATATGATCTTCTCCAATGTGATCCTCAGACAACCTATCTGTCGCTTGTCAACGGAGAGTCGGGAATTTTTGTTTTTCACCTTCCGTAAATAAGGTGAGATTTAAGAGTTGATCGACCCAGGAATCTAGCTGTGCTTTTTAGACGGTGATATCCTCAAAAAAGAGAGAAGTTAGGCTGTGAGGTGAGCAACCTCACTGCATAGAAACAGTGCCTCTTTTCGTTTTAATTTGGCAAAATGCTTAAAATCTGGGCCATCAAAAACATCCATCGTTACACTGCAAACAGTTTCTCTTAGCAATTTGTTTAAATCTATTAAAATACGACCTCTGATAGTATTTTTTCACAGGCGAGTTTTTAAAAAGCTTACAACCTGCTCATTCACACGTTTCTAATTAACATGAGAAGGAGAATTATCCAGTTGGGTGATATGATAATCTCAATGCATGAGGTGACCGTTCGTCAGAGGTGTCCTCAGTCCAATAAAATGTATCCCTAGACTATTTATAACCAGCATTCAACAGAATGTCATCGTATATTTCTCGAAGAAGACAGATATGAGATATAATGATGATGTAGATAGTACTACTCAGAAATATATAACCAAACACGATAATATCATTCAATACTTTTTGTGTTGACTGAAGCCTCTTAATTTTTACATCAGTAACAAACATACCTAGATCAAATATACTTAGAATGTATGGGCTGCCAAAAATTTATAAACCGAGTGCCCCATTGGAACGAATACTAGATATATTTAATTCACCATATAATGAAAGAGCAAGATGGCTGGCAGACATTCCTAAACCCCATCAGCTAAAAGGTGCTGAATATACATCTTGAAGGGAACTTTTGAATTTGTAGAAAAAGTAAGAGATAAGAAGGTCAGCGATGAAACAATCATCTCTATGGATGTCACTTCTCTGTTCACTAACGTGTCTTTACTAAAGACCACCATCCTTTTTACCGGTGAATGTCTTATCAAAAACGATTTGGAAGTAGGTATACTACGTCAAACACTACGGAAACTGATTCTGCGTTGTACGATGAATGTGAAGTTTCAGTTTAACAACGAATTTTACCGTCAAGAGGCGTAGCAATGGACTCCTCTCCAGGTCCTTTCTTAGGTGATAGTTTTTGTGGCAAAACTAGATAATCAGCCACTGAAAAATATGATCAGATAACTCTCATTCCATTGTAGATATAACAGTAAACTCAATACTGAGGTCCTTTTAAAAACGTTCAATATAGCTCACCCATAAACTGATTTCACATGTAGAACAGTGAAAGAAAATACCTTGTCATTTCTTGATGTCCTGCTAACAAGGAGGCAAAATGGCAGTATCAAACGACCTATTTTCCTGAAGAAGTTGGCCAATACGCCCATTTCAAGTCGTTTGTTCCTGTTGCATATGAACAAAGTCTTATCAGTCAGTACCATGATGTTTCTTGCTAGAAAAACCTGCACAACTGACGATGCTCTAGGCGGTGAAATAAGGAATTTTAAAAACTTATTATATGAGAAGGGATACGCCGATAAATTTGTTGAAGTCTCCAATGGGGAAAACAAATAGACAATGAGAAATGCCTGCAAATAGCGCAGAAGAAACACATTTATGCATGACTTTATCTTTTGAACGAGACGCAGCAACTGAAGTACTGGCATCAAAACTTCAGAAAATAATAACTAAAATATTCTTCGCTGCTACAACATTATGTTTCAAATTCACTACTCGTTCGTTGCATCATTCCAATGCGCAGGCGAAGGATAAGCTACCGAGTCTGTCCATCTCATTAATGTGTAATTATAAATTAAGCTGTTCATGTGGAAACAGTCACATCATTGATGGGTAGAACGACTCACTCAACAAGCAGGCCGTCATCTTTTTGAATGGGCATTGTCCAAGGTGGATGGTTAGGTAATGGAGTCGTAAAGTCAGTCAGATGTCCCACCTATTGGCACACTTTGCGGTGGATACGCAGCACAAGACTGAGGAAAGTTCAGCTTTTACAAGATGATCTATACAAGGTGTCACCTCAACTCCCTAAATAGGTTGGTACGTCTTTGGTTTCTAAGCGTATATAGCTGAGGCAGTTGCCATTGAACAAAATTTTCAACCCATTGTCTCTGTTCAGAAAATGTTTGTACAGATAAAAGCCTCGAAAAATAGCCTTTCATTTTATTTGGTTGCAGTATTGTCACACTTCTATAGACATCAAAGTTGTACGAGAACATATTTATTTCTTTTTTTATTCAGAAAACATTGAATAGGATGGGGATTGTGGTAAAAACAAACACTGATGACTTACAGGATGATCTGTTTGTAATTCTGGTTCAAATTTCAGTAGTAGGTGCTGACAGTTGTCCAGATCAGAAATATGCTTCGGATACCAGACTATTAATAAAATGTAATCAAATTAATTTTGTATTATGCATAAATGTGATTTTTTATTGTTACAGATAGATTATAGTTTAAAACTGACAAAAATCCTTATTGAAATTTGGGAGATGGTGGAGGCACAATGACACAATTGATTCCACTGACGAAGAGGTACTACTAGGCAATATTTGACCGTGAAAAGAATGCCTTGAAAATACGCCGCGCACTGATTAAGGCACTCACTCTACTGCAACTCATGCAGCCAGCAAGGTAAGAGCCTATGGACAGTTGGCATCTGATAACTGTGATGACAGCCAGTGGTGTCCGTCAAGGACGTCTTGCCCACAGTCCCCATTTCTGTTGAACTTTATCATAGATGTAATAATGAACTTAACCCTAACCGATGAATTCAGCAATTCAGGGATTGACTTATTACCAGGGAATAATACTCCCGTTGACTTAGAATATGCGATATGATATATTTCTCCGTCCTAGGTGACGACGCTGACAAAATAGAGTCTTTTGAAAACAACTTGAGGGGCACTAATCTGCGAATGTTCGAAATGTTATTCTCCCTTACTATCAAATCTAAGATGATGAGGCTAATGGAATACTGGAATACATCGACTCACTCATAGCTGGTTTAACGATAGGGAGGGAGTGAAGTGGTGACTGAGGGTAATGAACACCACTTCACTTATTTGGGAAGTTGTTGCATCAGCCAGCCAACCTCAACAGGTGGTTGATCGCTGACAAAATCTCACGACGAATACAGAAAACTCGTTTGGTACTTGGCAACCAACCTACACCATCTCTGGTGGCTTAGTAGACGTGATATCCAGCTCACTGACTGTCGACCAAAGTACCTACGTGTGTACTTTTCAGCAGCAGCAGTTCCCTCAGTCCTTCTTTATGGCTGGCTGGCTAGCTAGCTTGCTGGTTGGCTCTGAGTGACACATCACAGACACTGATGAGAGTGGAAGACATGAAATGGTTGGCTAGCTAGCTGTCTTTCATCATTTATAGGTGTCTGTGTTGTATCTACATCCCGTGTTAGGTTAGGTGGTAGGTGCTACTGGGTGATTATTATTGAGTCGGTGAGGCATCAGTGGAGTGAGTATTAGGTAAGCAGGGGGAGGAGAAGGGAGAATCAATTTGTTGACGACGTTGTGAAGCAGTTAGTTATATGGATTGAGTGAAATGGTTAGGACATGTGTTACGCATTCATGAGTTCATCCTCGACTGACGGGCGAGTTTAGCTTAGCCGACATAGAATGAGGTTGGAAAAGAGCTATCTGGCTAGCACGTGGTTGTAGTCAAACGAAAACAGTCAGTTAGTGAAAACCATAACAACAGATAATTAGTTTGAACCAGTCACACAGCTACGTAGAGAGATGTAGATTGACTTTCTGAGTGGCTGGTTGGTTGAAGTATGCAGACAATTGGTGATATGACTGGCTCATAACACTCGTTGTCAGTGATGATGCAGATACATTCACTCTTTGTGATTTCTAATATCCAGTGAAACTCTATTGTTCTTCCATATGACTATTTACTTCTACTGACACTTCTGTTTATTATCTGTCTTTTGAATCTCACTATACTATCTTCTCTTGCGTTGTGTGTGCTACACGTAGCATGAAGAGTGACAACTGGAACTGCTGCTGCACATCTGTGCAAAGTTCTATGTTGAATCCAGTGAGTCAGTCAGGTCTAAGTAGTTATTTCTCCTTGATTTGAAATGTAGTCATTGCCCAACATAAGATTGATCTCAATACTTTTGTGCCTTTTAGTGTTCACTACAACCAACTGACTCCTTATTAGCAACCAGAAAGTGTAGCGACCACCTACACCAGTGACCCTCAACGTATACCATTCGTTGGATTACAGAACCTGCTGTGTATCCTACATTAATTTATACGAGATATTAACATAATAATAATAATAATAATGAAGCACATAAAAAGATGACATTTTACCCGGAAGTAACTAAAAAATACCACCTAACTGCAATGAAAGTTATCATTTTTCAAGTTTCATAACTATAAAAACGGTTTCACCTATTCCCTTATGGATAAAGTCCCACAGCATATTATACAGTAATATTTACTGACGATCACGTTTCGAGAGTACATGTTGTTCAGGTGTCTGTCAACTTCTGCAGTAACAAGTGGACTAAGTGGCACACAACTTTCCCTACTGAAAACTTTTAGTACCCTTTTCCTCCGTAAGACATAGTCCTTACTGAGCAGCCCGGAGAAGACTAAGATGGGGAAGCACTAAAGTACAATAGGTAAGATGTAAAAGCTAATAAATTGCAAGAGATGGGGGGTTACAGATTTCAGATTATTTTAACTTCTTAGTGAAGAAGGTGGTTACACAGAACATTTTCTTAGAAATAGACAGGATATGGGGTAATCAAGAAAGGTCATGGGATAGAACTATACCAAAGTTCCTCTTTCAGTGTCATCTGTGCTATGCTGCAAGCATCATGTGAAAGAATAAGTTCTTGTAGATCACGTTTATACCTCTTATAACCTGACATTCAGAGGGATTTAAGATAGGATCATTTGGCTTAGAGGACTGTCAGGCTCATGTCCGACGAAACGCTGTTCCGTTTGGAACAGTAAGATTGTGATGTAACTGACTAGTAGAGACTCTCATATAATCAGCGTATTTGACAAAGTTGATTTCGTCTGAAAGAGATAAATCACTGAAGAAGAAAAGACAGGAAGAGGACAGAGAACAGCACCACGAGGGACACCAGCTTCAAGAAGCAAGGAAGAGGAAGATTCGTGATTTACATACAGATTGCTGCATTCTGTTAGGGAAATAAGAATGCGACCTGTAAATAACCCTCGAATAGGTTCGTATCACGGAAAGATTATTTGAGAAAAGGCATCTGCGTATATTGTTAAAAACGGAGATGTGCGTATAGTCAAGGAAGATTTAACGGATATATCTGGCCCCTTTGTAAAAGAAGGAAACAGTGTTATGATGTAAGAAAGCCACAGCAGAATCTAAAGTACTTCTGCCTTGTTAATAAGCAAGCTGTTTGTTTAAAAGCTGACTGAAATCAACTGCCTAGGCAATATTGCTGTTTTTTTCTATTCTGTGCTAATATAAGTGAGTAGAGTTCGAGATAAAAAATCTGCATGTGTTTGTACAAATACGTAACGTATGGAAAAGCGTTTGGAAGAAAGGAGAGATGCCCAGTGGCTGGAAGAATGGCCACCTTGTCAAGCTATCAAAGAAGAGTGACTTAGGCCTCACTCTGCAAAAACTGGAACAGAATCACGCCCCTCTCCAAGCCAAGTAAAATAACAAACTCACCTCGTCCTAGGGAGAATAAAACATGCACTGGATGCAGAACTCCACCAACCCCACCAAATCATGGTAGATTCACGGAAAGCAAATCATGTGCTGATCAAATTACAACTCTACTCATCATCATCGAATAAAGGAAAGAATCGCACTCACTGACCTACCTCAGCTTCATTGACTTTGAAAATAGCTTCTACAGCGTTAGCCGACAAGCAGTTTGGAAACTGCTTCAACACTACGCAGTGCAGTGCCCAAGCCTTTATCAACCTCATTCAACAGCTGGCTGTGTGACAATGGCCCAGGTCAGGTGATCCACAACGGAAATCTCAGTCAGCGAAGACAGGAAGGAGTAAGTAAGACAAAGCTGCTGCCTACTATCACCAACGATGATATTCCTAATTGTGGTGGACTTGATTATGCGTCAGACTGTGAGTGGGGAGCGAGAAGAGAGGAATACACTGAAGCACCGATACGGAGACTACATTTCTCAGATCGATGATCTATATCGGTTTTTGTCACACAAACTCGAAAACTTACAGCAAGGCGAAAAGCAACAAACTGGCTGAAGACGCTGGCAGACAGCGAGGACAGGGCTCCACGTGGACATATACAAGACAGAAGTGGGCAAGATAACCAACCAAACAAACAACTGAGCAACCACTCAACGGTAAGAACAACAACCAGCATCAATCATCATCAGTGAGAGAAATTAGATGAAAGAGGTCACTTCCTATCTTCACTTATCTAGGCAGTCAGCATCGTTTCAACTATAGTCAGGTGGTAGCACGGATACCAAAGTCATAGTCTTCATCAACCTGAAACCAGTTGGAAATCTTCTGCAGATTTTCAAAACAAATGTCAAGTTGGTCCTTCTATATGGGTGAGAAAATTGCACTGCGTGTCACGACAAGGATTTCCAACAGGTTGCAGACTTTTATCAGCAACTCCCTCCGCTCCATACTCAAGATCAAATCTCCAGAAATAATTAGCAGGAAGAAACTCTGGGGACAAGCCTACCAAAAGCCTATTGATCAACAAAATATTTAGGAGAAAATGGAGATGGGGATACATTGAAGAGGCCATCGAATGACATCACACAACAGGCCCTCGAGTGGAATTCAAATCGGAAGCGACGCGTGGATCGTCCTAGGGTGACATGTAGGAGATCGTATGGGGAAGAATCGAGAGGGTCTGGGCAATCGTGGACCCAGCTGAAGAGGATGGCAGAAAATAGAAAATGGAGATGTGTTGTTGAAACTGTATGTTCGACTAGGAACCCAAGGGAATAATAATAATCACACACATAAAGTTCATTTTTTGTTCCTTCACTTTTGTGTGTATCTAGGATTATAATATGCCAGGTTGTTGACAGTTGTGCTTCCGAGTCCCCCCTGATACATGTGTCCAGCTTGACCTTAATGAACATAGATTATGTTATTAGTCTTTCTTTCCATTTGTTCATTTAGATTCAGAATGCAAATGTTGTTCTATTCAATGTTACGTTGTTTAGTCCCATGCATGTGCAGCTAGAGAAAAATTTTTTTCTAAATTATTGTAGGCCTGTGTTCCGGTGAGATGATGACCTTTAGTTAGACGTTTATGTTGTTCTTTATCTCATATTTTGAGTGGTGATCTAGACGTTTGACTCATACATTTAGTAGGACGTAGAGCACAAGATATTTTCTGGTCGATTACATTACTACTTTTATCCATTCCTTTTATTGGATCTTTAAGTTGATTTATATGATTTCCAATTAGGTTCGTTAGTTAAAACGTGGTACAAATTGCCGATGATCTACCATTTTTGTATAACATTGTGACAGTTTTTCGTTTGCATCTTCTTTCTTGTCTTTCTCTTTTTTCATCCCCTTTTTTATTTTGTTATCTGGTAACATTTTGAATTAGATACTTGCTTCTTTTCGTTGGTCATCTGGTCTCGTTGTAAGTTTGCGTATTTTTTCTTCAAGACCTTGTATTTAAACCCTCGTTTTACAGTAAGTGGATAATGCCTGAGTGATAATAATCAAGGAATCTCCCATATTGTGAAGATTTTCAATATATGTGTCGTCATCTTTATGCTGCCATCCATCACTTATTATGTTGACGCTGGATATGTGTATCAAGGGGTAGCAAAACTGTCAACAACCTGACATATTATGATTCTGGATACACACAAAAATGAAGGAACAAAAAATGAACGTTATATGTATGTGATTTCAAATCATAATTGTGTGAATTAGTAAAAAATAAGTCAATTCCAACAGTAAAAAAAAGAAGAGTTCCAACGGTGGGTTTGATCACGGGCAGTAATTTTGCTCGAAATATTACCAAAACAGAAAGGGATTTATTGTAAGAAGGATAAATCTTGGACACTGTGGTAAAGTATAGTTCCATTATGGATAAAATTTTATTCGATAATGTCACACTCTTTTAATAAATCGGTAATCATTGGTGACGTTTCGAGGACAATTTACTGCTTATAATCATACCAAGGTACTCACATAACTTTCTGAATGTATTTCATCGTCTTAATTCTCATCATTTAATATTTACTGATAACACAAATATTCGTTCTGAATGTACATTATCTTCCTTTCTGTTTCACGCAAGTTTAATATTGATTTTACTCAAATGTCTAAGCAGTTTTTACTCATATATATAAACGAAGCATGCAAGTTGTGTGGGTACCTTGACATGATTATGAACAGTAATAAATTGTATATTTAATTTAATTTTAGATTTTCCCGTCGATTGATTGAATCGAAGTGCTCGGTCTCAGGCTGACATGTTGGCTTCTTGTGCAGATGCTTCGACGATGTCTGGGCATTTAATTAGAATTTAATTGGTGGATGGTGACTAGCAGTGGAATCCAGGATGCGTATTTCATCCTATTTGGGACTCGTCATCTGGATGCACCTGCATTTCCCAGTGAGTGGTGATGACCCGTTGCACAAGAGGTGGCCCTTGTGGCCCAAGTAGTCAAGTGGATAATGCTTTGGCGTTTGAAACTGTGGGCACTGGGTTCGAGCCTCGGTGAGAACATCACCACTCACTGGGAAATGCAGGAGCATCCAGATGACGAGTTGCAAATAGGACGAAATGCGCATCCTGGATTCCACTGCTAGTCACCATCCACCAATTAAATAGTAATAAACTGTGCTCGAAAAGTGGTCATCAGTAAATAATATTACTGTACAACACTGTGAGACTTTATCAAAATTAAATTTTATACATGATGAAAAGGACCTATTATTGTGTGTAAACTGCTGAAATATGATTACAATTGATTTGGTGATCTATCCCACAATGCCCAAACCTTTAACTAACATAAATCCGTTGTAAATGTTTTAGAAAATTCTATGAGACATTTGCCCAGCTACTTACTGATATCAGTAGTAATAAGAACAAAGATAAATAAAAAAATATTAGAGTTAAGAAGAAAGTTTTTATCAAACACTGACCTTCAGAGTTTTTTTCTGTACTCATTATATTTATTGCAGAAATAAAACGAAAACTGCGTAATTCACTGTAGAGGGAATCTAGATCTTCTTCTTTGCTTGTTTCTATGGTAACCAAACAAGAATACTGAGCATTTTCATCACATGCAGATAATGAAGCGAATGGAGGTCTAGTTTCAAAATGTATAAGGTTGATTTTCTAGAAAAAATAAGGTCTGTGTTATTTGTGTATTTCAAAAATAGAAAATAAAGTGGAAAAGAGAGTTAATATCAGGTCACATAGCGCTCAGTAGAAAACTCCCCTTTAAAGTACACTTCTTCTCTAGCAGCCATATTTATAATGCTTTTGTTATTTGGGTAATTTTTTTCAAAAGTGTGCTTTTCCAGTCGGTTTTGATATGGAAATTGGAAAAAGGATGCGTAAATTTTTGTCCAACATAATAAGAAACTCTCTTATCAACTAGTAGGATAAACCAACATAAAAATTAACAAAACACAAGTGACGAGGGAGGTAAAACAAACTGGATGTTGGTTGATGAATGCTCATCAATAAAGATTCTTTAAGTATTATTTATAATTTACTTCGTTCTTTCAACGAACTCAGTGCTCGCTGTCCTTTAAGTTCAGATGAAATTATGAAAGTACTGGAACTACGTCTACGCTCGACGCTATTTCGATTTATAGAGGTTTTTTACTATCAAACGCAAAGCATTGCTATGGGACCACCAGTATCTCCAGCAGTCTTCAATCTGTTAACACACTCATTACAAACAAATGTAGTTATGAGATGGCCTAATCCTCCAAGAATGTGGTTAAAACATTTGGGTGATGCCTTCGTCGTAATCAAAGGCAGTATATTGAATGAACTTTCTCATTTAATGAGCAGTAATGTCAAGAACCATTAAGTTTTCTAAAGAGGTTGATACCAACGCAAATGATTTGGCTTTCATGGACTGTTTGGTAAAAAGACAAGCAGATGGTGTAAACTCAAAATAAACATCTTCAGAATGCTGACATATTTGGACAGATACCTAGACTACAATTCAGCACATCCCTTTACCACCAAAGTAACTATGGCCAAGAATATGATTAACGAAGTCAAACTTCGTCTAGCTACTGAGAAGAAGAAAATCAACTGGGAACTAAAGCTGATGCAGTTTACTGCTGAATCAAATCATTACCCGAAAGCCTTCACAAAAAGATATTCGAAAGTGAAGATAAGGATAAATCGAAAGCTGCTGTTAAGACTTGCATTAATACTGTACTGGTCATTCGTTATCGAAAGGAAACATCGGATGAAATAAAGTGAATTCTTAACAATCATGACATAGGAGTGTATTTTCGTGCAAAGGACACTTTACACTCATCACTGGTGTGGATAATAAAACAGAAGACGAGCAACAAAATTGTGTATAGCAGATCAATTGTGGAGATTGTGATGGTGCCGTATATGTCAGAGAAACCTCCAGACAGATAAGTATGGGAGTGAGAGAGCATAAACAATGTCTAAGGGTAGTTCACATTCGGAAATGTGAATATGTGAATATAACATGATGGGAACTCACTGTCAAACTTTAGCACACATATTCACATTGGGAAATACTAAAAAAACCTTCATTAAAATGAATATCATATACTCAATGCATAAATTTTTTCAAACTGTTAAAAGTGAACTTGGTTTGGACACTTATAGTTTCCGAATGTACTTTATTTTCCGATCACCTATTTCACACTTGTTGTCTATTGAAGTTTAGGTTGACCTCTATCTATTTAGTTATTCAATCATAAATCTAATCGATGGTGACTCATTATACTGTACACTAACTAATATTATAGCACTTTAGTATTTCCACTCACTGTCAAACTTTAACACTCACATACACAAAAGAAACTGATTGTTATAGTATATTGTAACTCATATATATATTTCACATTCAGTTCTCTACAGCCACGAACTTAAGTCGAACGTAATCACTAAAAATCTGATGGAAAGATTACACACTGTTTACAGTGTTTAGCAGCAAAAGTAGACTAATATTTGTAAGTCTGTGGTCAAATTTTGATCACTATTCATGCAATTCTGTCTCGACAAGGTTTTTGAAGACAAGCTGTGTCCTTTTAATTCATTTGTATGCCTTTGTTATTTTAATTTCGATTAACTTCTCTGAATAAGTTCAGACCAATTTGCCGAACTCAGGAAACGTTGGAAGTACTTAAAGTTCAATTTCAGTGAGGTTATACAATAAATATAAATATATAGTGCCGGTTATTCCACAATTAGGATGAAACAGCTATCCAGTACTGCCTGGTTTTCATTCGTTCTCTAAATGATTTCAGTCAGTGGTCAAACTCGTAAAAATACATTTTTACAAATGCCTACTTCTCACTTGGCGTCCAATTGTTTTGGAACTATTCCGTTAAGTCTTGATCACAGTTCATATGTTCACTGATTAAATTGTTAATAGGGTTAATTAAAACAAAGAATACATGGTTCAACTTTCAGAAAAGCGAATGCAAATAAACACTTACCTTATTCATAATACACTTCAGTATATCTTGTAAAGCATGTGAATATGTCTGACGTGAAGATTCTTCACCAGTTGACATGGAACGAAAGTAAATGATCACTGAACGTAATAAGTAGCCTGTTTTACCGCCTATCAATTTGACATTTTCGTATATTGTCACTACTTCAACTTACTCAATTCATTAGATGTCTGTGTATTGCTTTCACCAGCAGTTTTTCTGTTGTTATTGTCACAATCATGCATAATGGAACGAAAACTCTGTTTGAAATTATTGTAATATCTTTTTTCCTTGCAAAGTTGAGATGGAGTAATAATTCCGTGCAGACTGCTTTAATTTTATTAGTGTCAATATATGATGTCGCTGTGAAGGAACAGTAAGCCCTGAAAGGTGAAGTATGTGTATAAAATGTCTGGATAGCTTTCAGAATGTGAATACCACTAGTAAACAAACAGACCATTTCCGAATTTTGAATAACGCTTATGGTCATATGAGTGATCAGACTTCATATCATCAACCGAAATACACTGAGTCCTACGTTCCTGCACACAGATCAACAGCAAATGAGTGGGATTTACTATTATTATAACTGTTCCCTTGGGCACCAAGTGGAACATACAGCTTCAACAGCACGTCTACACTTTCGTTCGTATTATGCTGTCTTTTTTAGCTGGGCACATGATTGATTATAATCTTGCATCTCCTCCTCTCACGATCTCCTCCATGCCAGTCTCGGAACAGCTGCGACCAACTCGTACTTCCCTATTCAGGTTCCACTTGAGAGAGGCTCTGCACTGAGCATGATGTCGTTCGATAGTCTCCTCAGTGGTATGTGTCCAATCCATCTCCATTTTCTCATGAATATTTGATGAGCTATCGTTCCCATAATTATTGTCACCAATTCTTTCTGGATAGTCGGCCATTTCATTTTCAATATGGAACCAGCCAGAGAAGTGAGCAGCTGTTGATAGAAGTATTCAGTGGTCAGTCGGGAATGCTTTTAGTGACACGCATACGCCAAGTTTCTAACCCAAATGGAGGAACTGACTGACTGACTGACTGACTGACTGACTGACTAACTGACTGACTGACTGACTGACTGACTGACTGACTGACTGACTGACTGACTGACTGACTGACTGACAACATTGGTGTTGAGTAGAATCTGAACCTTGTTGTTTATCCTGAGGCTGAGTGTAGGAGATTTCTAAACTGATTTCAAAGTGGTGATGAAAGTGTGTCTTACCTTCTGTGTCTATCTGGAGTCCTATCTTTGCTGCCTGCCAGTGTCTTCAGCCAGTTTGTTGGTTTTCATCTTACAGTAAGTCTCCGAGTTTGTGTGACATTAAACGACATAGTTCATCGATGCGCAAAATGCAAATCTTCGGGAAGCTCCTCATTGGTGGCCCAACGTATTCCTCTCTTCTCGCCTCCCACTCACAGTCTGACGCATAATCTAGTCCACCACAATTAGGAATGTCCTTGTTGGTGATAGTAGGTAACAGCCTCCTCCTACTTACTCCTTTCTGTCTTAAGACAGAAGTTCTTAAGTTCAAACACCTGACTGAGATTTCCTTTGTGGATCACCTAACCTGGGTCATTGTCACACAGCCAGATGTTGAATGAAGTTAATAAATATTCGGGGCACTGCACCGTGTAGTGCTCAAGCAGTTTCCAAATTACTACTTGGTCAACACAGTCGAACGCTTTTCGAAGTCAATGAAGTTGAGGTAGGCCTGTGACTGCGATTCTTTGCTTTATTCGATGACGATGAGTAGAGTTGTGATTTGATCAGTATATGATTTGCCTTCCGTGAATCCAGCATGTTTTGGTGGGGCTGGTAGAGTTTTGCATCCAGTGCATGTTTAATTCTCTCCAGGATGAAGCGAGTTAGTATTTTACTAGGCGTAGTGAGGAGTATGATTCTGCCCCAGTTGTTTCACAGTGAGTCCTAAGTTGATCTTCTTTGATATGCTGACAAGGTAAACATCCTTCCAATCACCCGGCATCTTTTCTTCCCTTCAAACTTTTTGCGATAATGGCACCAAGATGTTTGCCTCTGTTTATTGGTCCGTTTTCAGCGCTTCAGAGGAATTTCCATGTGGCCTTGCTGCCTTCGTAGCTAGCCTTCATTGGCTTAATTCCATTCAAGATTTCTGATTTCGTTGGATGAATAGGAATAGGGATGCTTTAATCGACACTTCTAGTACCTAGAAGCAATTGACATCTTTCAAATCAAAATTAATTACGTCAATCACTAATGTCTTCGAAAATTTAATCAACAATCTTCTATGCCCAGCTCAGCTGTTCTTCACTTGACTTCCATTTGTCTGCGTGCTGAATAAATTCGACAGCAGTTAGTTTGTATCATTAGGCGGAATCTCACACCTTCATATGCGATTCACACCAATAATCGCGCTACGCTAAGATAGCTAATAACGTAGTACTCTATTCAGTTTTACTAATTTCAATAAATTCTCCGTCGGTTGTGCAGCGGTGTAATGCTCTCTAACCCCGCCCCACGTGGTTCGGGGTTCGATCCGTGGCCACCGCCCAACTTCCCGTTAAACCTAGCTAAGCAGGTAGTAAGGCCGGTGGTAGAGAAGGAGGGTGTGCTAGGTGAGGCTAGCAGCCCGCACTCTGTGAAAATAAATGAAATCACTTCAACCAAAACTTTAAGCTAGCTCTAGCAGGAAGCCCTGTGTTCCACTAGGTGCGCAAGGGAATAAAACAATAATGAATTAAAAGCGACTAAGTGTTTTAAATTAACCATTGTACTGCCTACTAGATACGTCAAAAACTTACCTTGAACTAAAGTATGTCCGATTGTGAATTAAACTGCTTTCAGTCTTTCATATATATATATATATATATATATATGAGATGGGATAACTGCCAAGATTATTGCCCAATAAGATTTAAGTGATTTCGAATCAACAGCCAAATCGGCAAAACAGCTTGAAAGAAATGTCAGGCACAGCCAATCCTAGTTAAGCCAAAATATTATTCTATTTGATATGAACCCCTTTTCGACTGCTTGCTTAAAACTTAGGCTACCGGAAAAGCAACCTCCATCAATATGTTGCTTATAATTTCTGTTATTCAGTTTGATTTAATATGGTAAAATATGATGGTATAGTAGTGTAGTATTATAATGGTATTGTTTACTCTGGCGAGTATTTAAAATATCTACAACCTGCTCATTCTCATACTTCTACTAAACATGAGAAGAAGCATTATCCAGCTGAGTGGCATAATTATCCCAATACATGAGATGACCGTTCATCAGTGGTATCCTCGGTCCAACAACTGTGTCACACGATCTACTGTCAGTCAATTGATATTTTCATATTTGAAGATACTAGAGGAAGAGGAAACCTTATGTAATAAACTCCACTGAAAACTCCGTACATTACCTAGACATTGTTAAAAATTAAGCTGTTACTATTATTATTATTATGAACGAAATATTCCCATATTGAGTCATAAGAAAAGGCACAAACAGCGAAGAAAATTTTCTTTTCGACGATTCATTTTCATGAGCTGTACAATCGTAATTATAATTAACAAAGAAATCTTTAGACCAATCAGATACTGGTAAATTTTGTCCTTGGAAAATTGTATTACATAATGTAAGGTGTAAGAAGGGATGACTAATTGTAAGTTAGAAAGGAGACAGAAGTTGGCATGACGTAATAAGTGTGAGATAGTGAATAATCAATAATCTCGTGTAAAATGGACAGGAACTAGTGGAAAGGCTAATAAAGTGTTTTTGTATAAAATATGTATGGAAAACAATGTTATTAATAAACAGTAATAGAGTGGTAATAAAATGTGGATGATGGGGACAAAATGATAATAAAAGTATTAATAAAATAAAATAATAATGGTAATAATAGTGAACTTACATAATAAAGGAAAGAAGCAAAATTGTGATAAGAACTTTACTCTGGCCATGGTAAGGCAAGAGAATGTATGTATCGCTTTTGTATGCAGAGGTCCGGTTTTAGATCTCGAATAGCTAATGCTTCAGCTATGTAAAGATGGCGAATCCGAAGTCCCTTTGTACGATATTGAGGGACTCTGTGTAACACTGTGAAGCATTCATGTGGGGGTGCTCGATGTCCAGAGATGACAAGGTGTTCGAGGATCGAGCTGTTGCTATTCTTCTTTTCTCCTCTGGCCAACCAAGCGGGGCAGTGTTCCAGAATACGTTTTTGGACTTGACGTTGCGTACGGCCAATATACTTTGCTCCACACGAGCAAGTAAATTGATAAATACACATTGAGGTGGCCAAAAGCGGTATCTTGTCCTTAGCGTTAGACTGGATTAACTGTCTGCAGGAGAATGTGATACGTAGAGTGGCTGTTGGAAATGTCTTCTTCAGACATTTAGAAAGGCGGTTTCTGAGAATTTCCGCTGCGACATCACCTTTGAATTCTAGGTTCATGAAGAGAGTCTTCTTAGGAACCGTTGCGATGTTTGACATCGGAGGCTTCTCCTTCATGTTTTTGTCAATAAATCTTGGTGGATATCCATTCTCTAGTAGGATTTTACGTAATAAATTTAATTCATTCTCCACCATGTCTTCCGAGCAGATTTTTCTAATCCTTGAGCTCAACGTACGTATCAGGTTTCTCTTTCGGATTAGTGGGACGAAGCTCTGAAAGTTGATAAACTGTCCAGTCCATGTCGGCTTGCGGTATATTGATCTTTGGATCGTACAGTCGTGTCGTCTGGTGAGTAGTACATCAAGGAATGGAAATGCGTTGTTCGATTCTCTTTCTAAGGTGAAACTTATTGATGGATGCGCTGCGTTGAAAGTTTTAAGGAGAGAATCCAAATTACAATTTTCATCACAGATTATAAACGTGTCATCTACGTATCTCTTGTATAAGTGCAGTTGACTTATCAAGGGATTGAGGATGTTGTTTTCCAGGGGCAAAATTTACCAGTATCTGATTGGTCTAAAGATTTCTTTGTTAATTATAATTACGATTGTACAGCTCATGAAAATGAATCGTCGAAAAGAAAATTTTCTTCGCTGTTTGTGCCTTTTCTTATTATTATTATATTAATATTTTCACAGTATAGTTCCAAGTGGGCAATAAACCCAATGAGGAACTGTGACGGTTTTGTTTCGTGTATTCAATAAAAACTGTAGAATAACGCTGATAATTATCTAAACTTGAATTCAGAATTCACCTGCTATACTCAGCACATAACGCTATTACTCATACCCCA